AAAGGCGCTAATAAGTAGTCAAAATTTCCACTTATCAACTCCCCCAAATTTAAGTTTTTGCTTGTCCTCAAGCAAATAAGGTAATTCTCACCTCCACAAGTTAAGAGCCATTCCAGCTAATCAAAGGTGAATCAATCACACATCAATTGGGAACAATAATTACCCACGACACTTATGAATTATCAACAAGACAACAAGTTAAACTTTTAAGCACGAATAGTTCTAATGTGACACTTGAGCATCAAGAATTGACTTTATTCATCAAGGAAGCTCGCTCTTTCATGTAGGTCATTGTGGACCCCAAACTCCTCCTCCTCTTATTTCAGTATATTATTATATTTTCTGTCTTGCTTCTTATTATCTCCAGTAGGGCCTCGACCTGACCTCGTCAATACTCTACCGAGGTTAGGCTTGGCACTTACTCGGTACCGTTGTGGGGTACTCATACTATGCTTCTGCACATGTTTTGTGCAGATCCAGGTACATCCTATCAGCCTCGGTATTAGCACATTGAGTTGCTTGCTTTGGAGACTTCAAGGTACACCTGCCCGCGTCTGCAGGCCACGGAGTACCCTTCTACCCTGTTCTTTTCTTATTTCTTTACATCTTTATAGACAGTGATGTATAGGAGTGTTCAGTACTGTATCTAGAGCTTGTGACTTATATTTTCACCGAATTTTGGGAGATGTACATGTTGAGTTACAGATTTTATTTCATATAGTTGTTGATTTTATTTTTTTTGAGATTTAAATTATCATTTCAGTTATTCCGTATGTTTGTTAGGCTTACCTAGTCTTAGAGACTAGGTGTCGTCACGACATCCTAAGGAGGGAAATTGGGGTCGTGACTTCAACACACATTTAACCCGAGATTTATTGATAAGTACGGCTATTGCTAGTGCATCATTGTGAGGCTGTATGATGCCCTTGTCATCTTCGTTGCTGAACGAGATGGCTCCTTCCGGGACGTAATCCCGAGTGCATTTTTCTCTCGCGATAGAAACTTTGGTAAGTTTTATCATTGGCCCTTGGGGGACATCAACTCTCCCAATGATCATGTTGGTTAGGTTGTGGGGCTCCTCTTGTTCGACTTGTTTGTTGGCGCCCCTATTTCTGAAGTGGTTTTTGGCTCGCTCGCTTAGGAATTCTCGAAGGTGCCCATTGTTGAACAATCGAGCTACTTCTTCTCTTAGCTATCGACAATATTCGGTCCTATGACCATGAGTACCGTAGTATTTACACACCAAGCTATGATCTCTCTGGGCAGGATTGGACTGCAGTGGTGTTGGCCACTTAGTATCTTTGATGCGTCTTATGAACGACACTATATTTGCAGCATCCACGTTGAAATTATACTTAGATAATCTCGGTGCTTCCCTACTCCCGAGTGACTTGTCAAATCCACTCTTGCTCACAGGCCCCGACTGCTCGGTCCTTAATCATTTCTCTTATCGTTCTTTGTCGGGTGGCGCTGGGATACTTTACTCCTCCGATCCACGTCGTATGGCTGGTATCAATCTCGGACCAGCCTCGGCTCCTGATCGATGATTCTCTTAGACCTGTCATCGGTTTTGATGGGGGTAAATAGACCCCGAAGAGGCCTAGAGTTGGTCGTCCTCGACTCTGATCTTCGATTGATACTTGTTGTAGACGTCGACCCAGGTGACCGCCGGGTACTCCACCAAGTTTTGCTTTAGCTGCTGAGAAGCCACGGAACTTCGGGGGTTAAGCACTTGAGTAAATACCTAAATGGCCCAATCATCCGCGATCGGGGGTAGATCCATCCGTTCCATCTAGAACCTTGACATGAACTCCCTAAGCATCTCGTTATCCCTCTGATTGACCTTGAAAAGGTCCGACTTCCTCGTCTCGACCTTGATGGTGCCGGCATGGGCCTTTATGAAAGCATATGCAAGCATAGAAAACGAGTCAATAGAATTTGGAGGCAAGTTGTGATACCATATCATTGCTCCCTTGGACAAGATTTTCCCAAATATTTTCAGCAACACCGACTCAATTTCGTCACCTTCCAGGCCATTCCCTTTGATTGTGAATGTATAGGAGGTTACATGCTCATTTGGATCTGTGGTCCCATTATATCTGGGAATGTTGGGCATTCAAAACCTCTTCGGTGCCGCGCTTGGGGGGAAGACTTCTGAATGAACTTTTTGGAATCCGGCCCCTTCAATATCAGCGGCGCTCCCGGGATCTGATCGACCCTGGACTTATACGTTTCCACTTTCTTGTCATTGGCCTCTATCTTTTTCTCGCTAGACTCCACCCGTTTTGTCAATTCTTCGAGCATCTTCATCACCTCGGAAGTTTCCCCGAGCCCGAATTTACCCGGTTCCACGGCAACTTGTTCATCCCTCCGAGTATTTTCCCGGGATTGCTCGGGCTCGACCCTGTTAGGGGCATAGCTCTGGTTCTGTAACTGCACTATCGTCTCTTGCTGAGCGTGTAACATTTCAAAAATCAACCGCAGGCTCACCCCATCACCTTCACCTTCGGGTGCCTCTCGAGGCGCTGATCGGGGTCCCCGCCAAACGCTATTTTCGGGATCAGTCGGTAGATTGATGTTGATGGAAACCCGTGAGTTAGCATCCACCGGGTCGGTAGCTGGGACACCACTGGGATCAATAGGGGGCAAGTCATTGATAGGTATCACGTTATTGTTCTCACCGTGATGGTCTAACTCGGTGTCAACGTTCAAGTAAGCGGACTGAAAATTTGACATCCTTAGTCTAACCTGGAATCAAAACTTCAACGAACAAGCGTAAAACAAGGTGTGTTATGGAGATTCGTATCAACTCAACACTATTATCCTTATCCCCATGGTGGGCGTCAAACTATTTACCCCAAAAAATGAGTAACAATTAAATTTGTACGTGGTTTAAAGGACATGTGATTTAATTCGATACGAATGATCTAAGAACAGCAAGTAACTAAGTTAAAGATAAAATGAACAATCAAACCAATTATGATATGATGATTAAGCTTGATCTTAAGATGAACGCTGAAATTTGGCCTCGATCAGACCCTCGATGTAAGCTCGGTTGCGATTAGAGGAGAGAATAACTGAAGAACACTTTGAATAATAGCTGAAAGACAAAAAAGAACTTTTATATTGCTTTGATTTACGTGTCAACAGTGTGTCAAAATAAAAAAAAACTTTCTCTTTCATATAGTAAGGGAATTTCAGTCCTAGTACAAGTCTAAATAAGGTAAAAATCTTCTTTCTCCGATAAATATCGATCCGTAGTTGATATCAGACGGGATTCGCACCGTAATATCCGGTTGAGGGCGAATATTACGGCTCCCTACTTGTCATATATAATCGTTCCCCGCGTTTTCCGTGGTCTAGAAACTTTACTTAGTCTGGGTCCGTTATTTTATTGTACCCATCCAGATACATCGTTCACTCCTCCCGGATTCCGATACGAGGGGTCTTTCGTCCTTGCTTATAGTCGCGTTGAACCGTGCTTCCATCTTGTTTCCTTATTGGAAAATTGAAAAAAACTTTGCCTCTGATTTTACCTGTGCACAATATGTATGAGTATATAGAAAATGGTATAAATACTCAAAGTGGCACCCGAAGTACCAAAAGATTGCTTGTTGCGACTGGCCCAAGGTTTAATGTTTCGCCCTCTAGACTTGGGATCGAGCCTTGACAACGCTATTTTTTAATAACAATTCTGTTCCTCCTTACAGGATAATCGTTCTCCTATTTTCTTCTTTTCTTTTTCTGTTATGCTTCTTCTTTTCCTTGTTTCTTGATTTCTATCCTTTTCTTCAATTGTTTCTGACTCTCTTTTTCCTAATGAGTTCCTATTGACTTTTTAAATTTTATAATTCTTGCTTCTATTTCAAAATTTATAGTGTTCTGAAAAGAAAAGAAAAAATCTAGTGCATATTAAGTAAATTTTTGCTTTGAGTATCCAAATATGCATCTATGGCGAGTTTTAGTCCTATTTCTCCATCTTTTAATCAAATCATAACTTTAGAATATGAAATTTCGTCAAAGACAATTATAAATGAATAATACTAATATTTTGTTGATATTAATTATATTATTGAAGTTTTATGTTTTGCTCACCATAATTATTAAATTATTTTTTTTGATCGATTTGTCTATATAAACCAGACAGGCGAATAACCCGAACCAAAACTCAAAAGAGATCAAGTCAAAGTCCAAAGCGCTATGACACCCGAAACGTTTAAATTCTAGATCCGCCTCTTTTAATTACTAGATACTAGTTTCCACTGGATTTTTAGCATAATGCCATTCCCTTAGTGTCTTTGATCGTAAATTGTTATGAGTTTGCTAAAATCTAGTGTTTAGTTTTGATTGGTTTTGCTTGAATCAGGTATAAAAATGCATGTTCTCTATCTAACATGAGTATCCACTACGGACTCTTGTGCTTCATTTGTACTTTTTTCCTACTTTTATTCTTTCTCTACCTCTGTATTCGTTCTCTTTTTTATTTTATGTTTTTTTTTTTTGAGTTATGATTTTGTTTGAAATTTCAACGGAGAAATTTTTCCTCTAATGTCAAAAGCAAGGTAGGTTATTAGCAAAAAAAAAAAAAAAAAAAAAAAAAAAAAAAAAAAAAAAAA